ACCAGGATGAACAATCAACACACATAACACAACCATCACATGAGAAACAGTCAATACGTCAAACTGACGATAATCAAAATTGTGTGTCGATCTCCTGCACAGAAACCGTCAACAAACACATCCAATAACGCGAAATCATCCATATCAACAAGAATCAATCATCAAATCATCACACAAACGCATTGGGATCCATTCCTTTACCCAGATAAGCCATAGTTATGCACTCACCTTAGGAAAACGGTTATAACACGCATTTCAAATTTCAGATTAAACCAAACTCGGTGGCTCTGGAAAGCTAAGACTCGGGCTTTCCAATGATACCTAGATCGTCTTCTGGTTCCTTACAGACCGACGGGGAAACAGCCCTCAAGTTCATTGTTCGGAACTGGAAACAGGAAATTCCAGTCTCAGAAAACATGAACGACACGTTGACATCTAAAGAACACAGAGAACAGAGATTACATCAAAAACAGGATCGGAAACCTGTTATGAAAACTAGACAGAGATAGATTTTCATAGATAGGTGGATCGTCTCCTAAGTCCTTCTGGTTCAACGGGAATCCTCCCTCGAAATGGACTGATCGCAGACCCAAAACTACACAAACATCTCTTAGTAAAACGACGATAACTCTCGGAATACAAATCCAAATGACAAACCGATTTCGCCCAAAGCTAGGTACAAGAGTGGAGAACTTATCGTAGAAGTTTCGTTCCAATCCGATCTGATATTCCCAGCCATTCGTCTCCCCTTCTAAAATCGGACAGAACTTTTTTTTTCAAGAAAGTCACTTCTCTCACAATTCTCTCTAACTCTTCTGATTTTCGGCCAAAAGAGCCACAAAACGCGATCCCCACGCTTATATAATGGAACCCTAAGGTTTCCTAAACCGATCGCCAAACCGAGCGATCAAAAACCGAACCAAACGGTTTAATTTTAACTTGCGTCGATCGACGCACAACACTTGTGTCGATCAACGCAACACCCAGAATCCGACTCCTCGCGAGTCCAAACACGTGTGTCAATAGACACACACACACTGTGTCGATCGACGCACCACCAAAAATACACATTTTGGTTCACGGGCGTTACAATTCCCCCCCACTAACACGGATTCGACCTCGAATCACACAACACCGTCCCTGCTAAGGCTAATACTCCCGTCCAAAACCCGACCAGCTTCACCCGAAACACACCAGAATACAATGTTTTCTGGTCCAGACCAGACATGCCCGATTGATCGTACAACAATCAAACAAGAACATGCCCGACCAACCGTAGACCCAAAGTTGAACCAATTGATCGTGCAACAATCAAACAAGTACATGCACGACCAAGATGCTACATAAGTTACCAGGGTCATCTGAACCGAGGTTCCCAAACGCAAGTAAAATCCCTAGACTAGACACCAACCACATCAACACTCATGACCCTACCCGGCCAGCATCACCTGAGGTCCTTCCCGATCCCCGAAGCTCATCCAGTCTCATACTCATAATCACATCACAGACGCTATGCACATACCCATATACATATACACCCCTAACACTCCCAGGGTCATCACCTGGAGATCACGGTGTATAACATACCCCTCCCACCTTCAGGACCGCCGTCCATCAGGCTATCGGTATGCTCTATGCCCCTCTCACTCTCGGGAGACACAGTCCGTCAAGCTATCGACATGCAGGAGACCTCACTTATCCCCTGGAGAGAACCTCACCTGTCCCCTCGAGATATATGCAGGAAACCTCACTTGTTCCCTGGAGAGAACCTCACCTGTCCCCTCAAGTATACCCAGGAAACCTCACTTGTTCCCTGGTGCACCTTCTGCAACGTGCCTCATAAGTACCTGTCGACCAGAATCACTTCTCGTGGTCCTCATGACATCCCTTCATC